AAAGAAAACAAGGAAGAATTTCTTGTTGCAGTAATCTCAGGTTTGTTTCCACAGTTTTCTGCTGAATTCAAAGCAGTGAATCCAATGCAGCAAGTCCCAGCCTTGAAAATTGATGGCATCGCCCTTTCTCAGTCGGTGAGTTACCAGCCACATCCCTGTTAACCATTCACTCCAGCCTGCTGCCCAGTCTGGAGGCAATGGCTTTGCTTCATCTTTTCCCTCAGAGCTCTCATCTGTGCATTGGAAAAGAGATGGCATTTGTGATAAACAGTCCCACTTGGAGGCAGAAATAGCACACAGCCTCTGCTGGGAAACTGCTGTCAAGGATTTAAGCTCAATTCAGCTTTGGTTCATAACTCCACCTTTCAGTTTTTTTGTAGTCTGACTTAGATGGCTATGCCAGGGTTTGCCTGAAATTACAGCTGAGCTAAATGACAACAAGGTCCCAAGCAGACATTGAAGGGGGTATTCTGTTGCTTGGATTGGTAACAAACTTAATTCAAAAGCTGTTGTATTCTCTTGGATCAGCTCCCCTTTCCCAGGTGTTCAGGATGTGAACTTTTCCTTGGCTCTCCAATAACCTCCCCTGATCTCTTTGTTCATTACAGCTAGCTATAATTCATTACCTAGAAGACACCCGTCCTAACCCCAGGCTCCTGCCCCAAGATCCGAAGAAGAGAGCCAAAGTCAGAATGATCGCCGATCACATTGTCTCTGGCATTCAGCCACTCCAGGTATTGCCTTGTCATATCCATGCAAATTAGAAAGTCAGGATGGGTTTCCAGGAGTCTGTATCTCTGAAAAGCTCAGTCTCTTTAAATTGTTGCCAGCCAATAGTGTGGCAGACCTTAAGACTGTGTGTTAGCAGATGAAATCTCTGCTTAGCCTCTGCCTGATCTGCCAATGGCAACAATACAGTATTTCCTACAAAGAAAATCCTATAGCACCCCAGAGTTCTTTCCAGAAACAGCTGGACCCATATGGTTTCACTGCTGGGTCTAGGATGTTTTAGGAAGAAGACAACTGAGCAACCCAAAGGGCAGAGGCAAAGGGATACCCTGGAAGCTCTTGCAGAAGGACAGTCCCAAGAGAGGGATACAGCAGGGCGCACAATTCGGTGAGGGTGAGGTCAGGCCTGATGCAGCATGCTGAACTCAGGCTGGGGGTTCAGGCTTGGCAACACCTCATCTCCCCTCTCCTCCACTGGATGAGGCAGTGGGCAAGATCCAGCCAGCAGCGGTCAACCTAACCTGGAGATTGCTTGCCTTTGCAGAACCAGAGCATCCTGAAACAAATGGGGGAGAAAAAAATGGAATGGGCTCAGAACTGCATCGCATCTGGCTTTCAAGGTGTGTCCCACATCCAAAATGATCAGCACTTCGACTAGCCCTTCAAAATGCTGCACTGCTGGGGTCCTACTTTCCTCTTCAAGCAGAACAACAGGTCCCCCTAGGCTGGTGTGCTGGGGTCCTGCCCTGCTGGCAGCGACAGTGCTCTTCCTGCCCAGAGTCCCTTGTCCAGGACTTGTAGCTCTCCAGGGTGTCAGAGGAAAGATGCTTTCCACAGGGCGCTTCCACTGCTGCACATGGAAGAGGGGAAGCCTGGGGCCATCCTGTACACCGCAGCAGCTGATTCACCCTGAAGCATGAGGGCTGACAGCACTTCCACCCAGCTGCTCCCAAACTAGTGCCTTTTGCTTTAAAGTTCTATCAATCTATATTTATGTGCTTTTGTAATCAGACAAAAGATAACTGATAGCAAACTCCCACAGAATCTAGCAAGTAGGAGAGTATTTCTTTACCTCCCTAGGAGAAATAAGGTGCTTTTTGTTTCCTCAAAACCGTTTCCCCCATGTGCTGGAATGGCAGGCCCATCTTCACTTCTGGACAGACACAAACTGACTGGACCTTTGCATTTTTCCTCTCCCCACTCACATCTCTCTACACTGTCCTCTTAGTATTTCAGGTGCATTGCCTGAAGCAGCTGAAATCACCCTGGGCCCCAAAAAGTGGGAGGACCCTAAAGAGTCCCATAACTACACTGTTCTAAGATTTCTGTTCCTTCCAGGTTCTGTCTCAAATTGCTCCTTTTTCATACTCAGCTCAAGGTCAAAATGCTCTTGTTCATAATTCCCAGTCCAAAAGGTATTTGATGTCCCTTTCAAATGAGTTGCCAATGCCTCACTCCACTGTACCACCTCTCTTGACAGCGCTGGAGCAGATTCTGCAGCACACTGCTGGGTGCTACTGTGTGGGGGATGAAGTAAGTATCTGAGAGAGTGTTGTGTACCATTGGAGAACTGAAAGGAAAGAAAATTAGTTGTGGAGACACTGCACAAGCCCATCCTGTACCTGGAGTTAAATGCGGTGGCTTCACCATAAGAAAAGCAGCTGCATGGATCCTACTTAGGCCAGTAGTGACTTGCAAATAGTTATGCAGATGTTTACCTGTCCCTGCCTGTAACTTGCTGATGGTCAGATTCTGCAGCTGTATCTAGGATCTGGCTGCTACTAAAGGACGTGGAAACAGATTATGTATATATCATCTTTAAGAGATTTGGAGTTCAAAGTGTCCTGTCATAGGGGCAAAGCTTGGCTCAAGAAACAGAGATTCAGTTCTTATCTCTGCTCTGTGGAACCTTTAACCAAGTTGTATTGTATTTTTCTGCTCTGTTTGTCCAATTTTAACATGGACAGATTTCAGAGAGCTCACATACAAGCGATTCTGATCCTTACCAAGCTAGAGGCCACTCAGGCCTCTTCCATTTAGTAGTCCTGTTTGGCAGGCCCTTGGATCTTTCCTATAAAAACCTGAGAAAAAAATGAAGGCTTCTGCAATATCCTGTCATGCAGAGGATTGTCTAGGAGGAGCTTTATGGAACTGGAGCCATTGGTGGGCAAAGGCTAGTTACAAGATCTTATGCTGGAGAATAATGCATGCTCTGAAAGGCAACCAGAGCTTCGTGACCTGGGGAGCAGGCAGCTGCCTCCGTGTGGACAGGCCACTAGCTGTATTGTCCTTGAGTCTTCTTTTCAGATTGTGAGTCCCTAACCTGTCTGCAAAGGCCCTATCGTGTATCAGGTCTTGACATTGGCAGGAGCTGCTTGATATTCCTGCAATGCAAACAAGCAGAATTTACTCATCTTTTCCCAGCCATGCAAACTCCCCCCTCCCTCTGCAGCTTGCCAGACTTGTTTGCTCAGAGGAAGTTGTCATAGAAGCACTGTGTCCTTGAGGTCATCATGGTCAGCTGGTCAATATGAAGCTCCCTAAAGGCTGATGGCTTCTTCTAGTAATGACTGCTATGAAGTTCTTTTCCTTATACCATTGTTGTATTATTAATGCTGGATTAAAGAATGAGATTGTCGTGACAACTCCTCTGTACTGGCTGATAGAACAATTTCTATCCTGCTCTCAAAATCTGCCACCACAGTGAAGCATGCTGGGACAGGCTCTGAGTTACTCTGACCCCTTTTCTCTGCTACATTTCCAGGTTTCCATGGCTGATCTGTGTTTGGTGCCTCAAGTTTTCAATGCTGAAAGGTAATTAAGGCTAAGCTTGAGGTGCCCTTCAAGGGTGCCTACTCTTTGTGCTGGGCTGTCAAAGTTTACCTTCTGCTGCTCCTGTGCCTGTTAGGAAAGCATCCCTCCTGCCTGCCCTATCCAGTTATGGATTCTTCTCTGCATGAATTTTCCTATGTCATAAATAGTGTCTCTTTTGGAAGCTCTTGGAAATAAGGAGCTGTGGTCTCTTCTCGGAGGCCCCTGCAGGAAACCTGATCTATGCCCTTAGAAAAGCTAAGGCTGCCTGCACTCCACATTCTCTCTCCCTGTTTGCCCTATATTTGCACTGCATACAGGAGGAAGAGATGAATCTGACTATATTTGTTGAAAGCCTTAAACCTATGCAAGTAGTGACTGCATGATTCCCAGGAAAAGCACAGTACCTTCTTACCCTGTGCTGCACACTATGTAAAAGCCCAGTGAGGATGGAAGAACTAACATTTCCTCTAGCATTTGTTTTTAAATCTACAAAGATGAATCTTTTCTCTTAATGCAAATGTACCCCAGCCTGTGAGATTCTGCCATACTGGGCAGGCACAGCATTCTGCTCTGCCCTTCTGCTCACTGCTGCACTGGCTGTCCGACTCATAGCACCTCACAATTTTTTTTTTCCTTTTGCAGATTCAAAGTGGACATGGGTCCATATCCCACAATAACCAGAATAAACAAAGCTCTCCTGGAGTTAGAGGCATTCAAAGTAAGCCATCCATCCCGGCAGCCAGATACTCCAGCAGAGCTGCGAGCTTGAAGCTCTTCTACTCATTAAATCAAGTAAGCTGGAGTGTCAAAGAGGACAACAACTACAGCTTGAGTAGGACTTCAGTGCCAGCAGGAAGCCCTAGTACTATTGTCTGACTTTCTCACTTCCCGCTCTGGGTGGGAGGAAGGACAGAGTACTTGGATGTAACCTGGGTGACTTAAAGGAGCTACGCCTGTGCTTGAAAGCTTGCAGCTACTTCTATGGGGTTTTTTTCTGTCTGATATATCTCCATGAAGCAGATTAAAGCAGAAGCATTCATAATTATCAGAAGTCCTCTTTGTATGGCTTTGGGTTGGGGATTGTGGCCACAAACAACTTTGAGGCATTGAGCCAATTCTGGACTCACCACAGGGACTTCCTCTTTCTACCATGTACAGAAAGCGTCGGGGAACAAGTGTACACAGTGTGCTACTAACCTAGCAGGCCTGCTTGTCCTTGCAGCTGTCTCAGAGCTATGGCATAATCATCAGTGCCATGGATATAAACAGTAAGAACTAGTCACTGACAGAAGACAGCTTAATCCCAACCCTTGTTGGGTCCCACAGGTCTTGCAAGAGCACACAGTCAGCAACTCTGCCACCCCTTGCAGTGACAAGATAATTAGTAACTCAGCTGATTTGTACCTCTTACATCTAGCAGCAGTCTTGTGGAATTTATAATAAAGGTCTGTCTAGAGCAAAGCTAGATGGTTGTGCCATAGTCAGCAAGACACAACCAGCTCACTCCCATACACTGAAAATTATGGCATTGTCTTCCTTTTCCCATCTTCAGACACTGCTCTAGGTGTTTTCTTAGTCCTCAGCTGCAGACTATTGCCCAAGGGAATCCCACCCGAGATTCCCTCCAAACGAGATTCATGTCTGTACTTTCACTGTGAGGACCTTCCAAGTGGCAGGAGTAAATCCCATTCCATTCATCCCAAATGAAACCCAACACCTGAGTCATCTTCAGAACTGAAAGCACCCTGGGAATTCCAGCCCAGAAACCTGTAGGGCAAGAAGGGAAACCCAGAAGCCTGTGACTCTGTTCCTGTGCAGGCTCAGCTCAGATGCCACTGAATGTTTTGGCACCCAAGCCCAGGTACCAAGCCAGGGATATGGGAGGGAGTTTCTTCCTGTTTGATGCTATATATCAGCTGTATCAGCTATCCTAAGAGGGCAATACCCATGGCCTTCAGAAAGACTTTACAAACCCATGATCTCTCGTGCCAAGGTAGTAGTCACCTACATACAGATACTTGGACTGTGACATTGCTTGGACTAATTTATTGCCATCCATGTCTTTATTCAGGCTGGTGAAGAGCCCTTGCTCTTCCAGGCTCATTCCAAGTACTGTGCATTATCCTAGGTCCAGCTGGATCTTGACTGTGCTGTTATAAAAGGTCCCAGCACAGTTGGAGCCCCCAAAGACCAACACCGTATGCAGGTTATGCTCCTCTTTGTTCTCCTTGTCCACATCCATCAGGTGGGCAGGAGTCACGTCAAGCAATGTGTGGCCAGCTCGGGGTACAGAGCAGAGGTCGTGGTGAATCACCGTGCTCCATGAAAGAGTATCTGAAGTAGAAAGGGGCTATCAGTATTGACAAGCCCATTGCTAGCACAAGGGACAAAACAAATGGACCAGACTAGGTGTTCAGAAACAGTCCCATAGTCACCTTCAGCTATGGAAACAGGGAGAGAGAGTCACTCACCCAGACGGAAGACAAAGGCATCCTGGAGGGCTCCCTTGGCATTGTAGCCTCCACTGATCAGAACCTTCTGGTCCGACACAGCCAGAGCTGCATGAAAACTGCAACCAAAGCAAAGCCAAAAGGTGACTACAGCAAAACCTGTGGGGGTTGCCTCAGTCAGCAATGGACAGGAGTGGGCAGACTTCAGCAGGCGACTGGGGGCTTAAGCTGCAGAATGGAAGTTAACTTCTGCTTCTCTTCTGCTCTGACTTGCTGAATAACCCAGAGAACACTGTTTGCCTCTGCAGGTCAGGCCATGATCAGGCCTGAAAAGCACCTCATTATCTCAGAAAGAGTGACCAAACCTCCTATGTTTTGCTCTGTGAAGTGAGACAGCAGGCTAGCCAGGCTTTGGTCTGATTTAAGTCATTGTTCTAGTGGGCAATAGTGTCTGTTTAGGAACAGCATAGTCCTAGTACAAGAGTTTCCTTCCTCTGTGTGTGTCTGTTGTACTCCAAGTACTGTGGAGAACAAAGAGCAGGCAATACAGTTCACTAGTACACGGCAGAAAACTTCCCCTAGCCTGAAAGGCAAATTTCCAGGGAGTCTAAGGGGTCTGTACCCCCCACACCCTACAGGCACCAACTAGGACAGCACAGGAATTTCTGGTCCCACAGCAGAGGGGCCATCCACTGTATTTTGACTAGTGGGACAGAGATATGCAACTGGGTCTGATCACAAGCACCGTTTAAACCTGGCTTCAAAGAGAAAGGACAGAGGAAGAAGATAGCTCCTGGGTCTGCAATAGGATCTTACCAACGTGCGGAAGGCTGTCCTGCGAGGAGGAGGACTGGTGTGTACTCCATGAAACCTGAAAGCCAGGGGAAAGGCAGGTGAAATGTCCAAAAAGCTCAGCCTCATAACTAGACAAAAACTTTCATACTCTGCCACATCAGCAACCTGCCTTCTCTATTACCCGGCTTCCTCCAAAAAAAGCAGTGTCTTGTTTTTCCCCTTTCCCTCCCCTCTTACCCCAGAAAGGGTTTTTTTATCCCATAGTTTTCCACCTCCATTGCCTAGTCAGGAGTTTTTATAACATTAATGCTACCTTCCCATTGAGCATGCCTTATTCCCCAGCCCCTGCCTTAGAGCGGACCTTCCCAAGGCACCCATCTGGCACAGACTTTCTTACCCAGATCCAGGACGTGCATGTCACTGAGGTAGAGAGAAGCTCTCCGACCCCCAAAAATCAGCAGCTTGTTCTTCAGTAGAGTAGCTGAATGCCTGGGCAGAGAAGAAGCAAGTGAACAAAGCATCTTCAGCAAGTTCCCAAAACTGATATTTGAGCCTTGTCTTCTGCTATTGGGCTGCCATAGCTTCAGTCTATACCTGCCTCCACCCCCAGCCACTGCAGCCCAAGGACAGAATCCCATCAGGACTCATGACAGGAAGTACTGGGAGTCACATTGCTCAAAACATAGCCCCATCTTAAGGAGCAAACAGTGGAGAACAATCACCTAATATTTAGGAAATTACACTGGTGTGGGAGGGAAGGTGAGCAGAGGTTTTCTGCTCTATTTTGGAGGACTGGAATAAGGGGACTCTTACCCAAGCCTAGGCAGAGGCTTCTCCCCTTCTGAGATGGGCTGATACCAAATTTCATGCTCTGGATTGAAGACATAGAGCACGTTGCTGCAGGGTCCAACTGCCAGTGATGCCTTTTTAGGGAAAGTCCCTCCGAAAACAAAGAGCTCCTTGCGGTAGATAGTTGCACTGTGGTAGGCAAGCACTGGCATCCTCCCTTTAGCCTCGAAAAAGTTCAACATACACTTGTTACGAGAAGTGCATTATTTGCTGCATGACTTGGAGGAAAGGGGCCCACATCATGCAGGGAGTTTGACAAGTCTCAGTTTTCACTTTATTGGCTTCCTAGCCAGGTCTTTGCCATACAGGCAGACAGTACATCCTTTGCATACTCTGCATCACCAGAATGTTTCGATGAGAGAAGGAAGTCAACCTCCTACCCCAGCTTCCTCAGAAAACAACAGAGGACAGAAAGATCTCATCCAGGCTTACTCTGTAAAAGCCATCTTGTGTCTTAGCCAGGAAAGAGACATAGTCCCTTGCTGACAGGGCCCTCTGCAAGGACATGACAGGCAAGTAAAGATCTCAGAGATCTGCTGTGCTCAGAGCAGTCCCTGATTTGAGAAGACCAGCTCTTCACCTTAGCATCCAGTGCAGCTCTCAATAGCACCATATGAAATGAGAGGCCATTTCCCTCTGTCACTTGTACAGTACCTCCCACCCACGACCTTGGTCAGACACAGCACTCTGCAGCAACCATTTTTTCACCTTGCTTCATTCATTGTAGGCCTAGCCTCTGCTTTTTGCCAAGCTTGTGGCCCTTCAATATAGCCTTCTTATATCCGTCAATCCCAATTAAGCAGTTCAGACAACCTGCAGCAACAGTGGACCAAGACTACTGGAATAAGGATATGGGCACATCGAGTGCCACATTCAGGCAGGACCTACCACCCGTCCTGTGCTTTTGTCTTGGAAGAGCTGCAGTACTTACAGCCACGAGGAGCCATTTCCAGGTGACTGTGTCCAGAATGTAGATGCCACTATACTCTTTGTCCTCCCTTATGCCCCCAAAGATGTAGATACGCTTGGTGTCTGGGTCGTAGGTAGCTGTGTGACCATGCAAGCAGGATGGCATGGCGTTTTGTAGCTGGAAACCCATTGGAAGCCAGAAATCACTGTCTGTGGGAGCAAAACCAGACAAATGGTGTGGGAGTTCAAAGACATTCTCAATTTCTCCAGATTTAAAGAATATGTCATAAAATCTTTACTCAAGACCTTGCTCCCTTCATCTCCTTCTCTCCTTTGATTCAGGGCTAGAGGAGACTCATTCAGAAATGTTTCTGTGTAAGGAACAAAGGGGAACACTAACTAGGTGGGGAATAGCAAGGCGGAAGAGAAGATCAGTGAGGTGCAGAAAACTGCAAGGCACTGGAATTGTATCTCACACTTCTCCACCAGTCATCACACACAGACTGCAAACTGCGCTGTTGCTTTTATCCCTTAAAATTCACCCAACTCTTTCCAGAACTTACACCTTAGCTCCTGGAGGGCTCTCACATACAGCCTCACAGCCTCTCATGGCACCCTACATTGTCAGCTCAGTGTGGTGAGCACGCTAGGAGATGTGACACCTTTGCTGTCCCATCCAGATGCACAGACCCCTGAGTACCGCCTCCCATCTGCATGAGTTGTCCTCAAGTCCCACTGCCCCCATTGCCCTTGATAGCCCTAAAGTCCCCACCAATTTCCAGCTTCCAGAGTGCATCCTTGCAGGACTGCTGATCGACACCTTCTCCACCGATCAGAACAGCTGTCCCCAGGTCACTGAGGCACATGGCATGGCACCACCGTGGGCTGGGGCTGCCTGGGGAGGGGAGAGCACAGGGCCATGAGCAGAGTCAGATGAGACACCCCCAGCTCCCTTCCCTGCTGGGGAGAACAAGGCAGCTGAAGGCTCAGAGGGGAGAAATCAGAAGGCAAAGGCCCCAGGTCCCTTCCCTCTGGGGTGGCAAGAGACATAGCTCCCTGAGGAAGGTTACCTGTTGGCTTTTGGGAATAATTGCTGTACTAGGAGATATGTTGCTAGTAGAGGGAGCCAGCAAAGGATGTAGGATGCATACAGGCTGCCACTTCAGGCAGGCTTGGATGCCCCCCATTGATTGCCTATCCCCAGACGGGATATCCCAGTTGTGCCAGCCTGCTGTGTTACTCCTTGCGAGGGAGGACTACCTAGGGACAGCTTGTTAGTGCCTAAGATACAGCAACCAGAAGCCTGGAGCTGCTTCCAGAGATATTCCTCGTACTGCTCTGTTCCTCCTGCTTTCCTCTCCCAGGCCCCTGCGGTTGGCTGAGCAAGCTAAAAATACTTTTTAACCAAAGTCTATTCCACATCTTACCCTTTGCCTCAAAGGGCTATGCACCCAGGGGTGTGCCTGAGATTCAGAGGGACTAGAGAAGTGTATTGAAAAGTCTGACAGTATTGGAAGCACCTATACTGAGAGGTCAATTGCATTGAGAGGAACAGTATATACACACAACCTACTTGTTATTCTTGATCACTGGGCAGATAAAGGATGAAGCATGAAAGGCCTGTCACATTAAAGGGAATGGCATCACTGAGTGGCTGAAAAGACAAACCAGGGTCTAGGAACCAGATCCTCACCTTGCAACTCCTCCACCGCCAGATCTGCAGAGGAAACACAGAGATGGCCCCATAAAGAAAGCAGCCAGCAGACATACCGTGGAAAGTGCTCAGCTCCACAGTTTAAAAGTCCATTGGCCTTCCTTCCTCCAACCCCCAGCACAAAGCTACCTCACTGCAACAGACAAGATGCAAGACCAAGAATCCTGAAGAAAGTCTCATCAGAAGAAATGCAGAAGACAGGTAAGACCAGGGCACACTTCTTTTGACTGCCATCATGTTGTCACAATTGCATTTTACCCCTCTGATGGAAGCTCATTTTCCCCCTTCTCACACTGCCTACAATGGAAGCGACTTTATGATGCAGGTATATTTGCCTTTGTGAGAAGCAAGCCAAGTCCCAAGAAGTCACTTCACATCGGGACCACCGAGTTATTGTCAAATATCTACACACAAATTTGGGCACACCTGGAGCTGACTTGGAATTCACATTCCAGAAGGTAAAAGTTTTGTTTCCAAACCCCTTGGCAGCTACCTTCTCACTACTGAAATGTCAGTACAATTATACTAATTATACATATATTCCCTTTCATATTCTCTATACTTTAATAATAACGAATGTCTTCTATGGACCAAGTGGTATGCTGTTAGTAGGGGAACAAACAGACTAATGGAGAGCTTACAGAACGTCACACTAGGTAACTTTCTCGTGCCTCAATTTACTCTTTGGTAAAACAAGGTTAACAATACTTGCCTTCATTTACAAAGCACTCTTACTCATAGGAAGAGAGAGACATGTTATGGTACAGAGTGTTGGCACTAACATTTTCTATTTCTGGCCTTTTCCCAGCAGGCAAAATTCATCAAGCAGTTTATCCAGGACTAAGGAGCATTCTCCGTATTTCATAAGCCAAGACAGACAAGCCCATCTTGCCTTGGAGGTATACAGAGGAATGGCCTGGGAAGTTGCTGCCCAGCAGCACTGACAGATTGTTCAAACAAGACCTGTAAAATAAATCTGGAAGCTGGAACAGTTACCTTCTTCATCGAGATCTCTCTCAGACTCTGTGGGTTCAAATAAAACTTTCCTGGGCTTCTTGGGGTGGACAGGACTCTTCCTCCAAGCCTCACTGGCTTCCACCTTGCCAGATGGTGGCTTCAGGGTACATGGTACTGCCAGGGTCCTCAGCGGTGGGCGGATATCCTTCCTCCCAGGCCTGGATGCTCTAGCACTCACCGCTGAGCTCTGACTCTTAACCTGTGACAAGAGTCCAGTCAAATCAGCCCTGAAGAAAAAGACCTGAGGCTACTGTGAGTTGTCTATTACTGGGCCAGAGATTAATTTCACTTGGTGACTGTTTTCAGGCTCATCTTCCCGTTGAGTCTTAAGGGCCAGCATGCCAACCATATCAACTGGAAAATATATCTTGAGTAATGCAGCCACCCGCTGCTATATGCCCAGTGATCTGCTTTCAGACTGTTGGCTGCGACTGGCACAGCTGGCACAAGGCAACTGGAAAGGCAGAAAGGCCATCTGTGCTAGGCGTAACCAGGCTGATCAATCATCCCACCGTGTGCTGTTAAATTCAACCCTTCCAAAGGCATTTCAATGGAGAGTACCACTTTCTTTAGCACAAGTGAATCTTCAGCTCCAAAACTTGCTTAGCCAGGTCTCCACTAAGACAGCAGCAGCAAATGTTTCTGCTAGACATCAACTGAGCAGCTACGAGTGAGAGAGAAGATACTAAGGAGAGGGTGAAATAATGAGAGGAAGGCTCCAGCACACACATACCGCAGTAGGATCCTCCAGGTCCTGGCCAAGGGGCATATCATCTCCTGGGAGCACTGGTGACTGGGTGGTCTCCGGGACGAGGAAGGGGTGGGCAGGCGTACTGTTGGAGACACCTCGGAGCAGCTGTGGCAGAAACAATGACAGTGAGAATAAAAGGACAGGCCAAGTGTGCTGGCCTCCATCCAAAAAGGGTAAGCAAAAAGATGTCTTGCAAGGGACAGATTCCCTGCAAGGGAATAGCCTAGCTTTCATCTCCAGCACCAACAGAATAAACAAAGAAAAGCAAAGCCAGGCACTGGGAGATGCTAAATCCAAGGGCTTCAGCACAAGCTAAACCAACTGTGCAGTACCACAGACCCAGGAGAGTGGAACTGGAAGTGAACCACTCTCTGCTGCCCATCTCTTGTGATACATGAGGTGTGTTGGCAAAGTTGCGTTTAGGGAATAGGCCGGAGCAACACAGAGGCCTCAGCACAGACGTGCATTAACAGATCCACATTTCATGGCTCTGCTTTGGAGTAGCAAAGAGAAGGAAAAGGAGAGGATGGGAGAGGAATTTCTGTAGCTCAGAAGTGACAACATTTGGCACCCCGGGGCAGGAAGAGAGGAGGATGTCGGCTCTTTTACCTGTCCATTGACAGTCAGGACAAGCTTCACAGAGTTGCCTTTGTCCATCTCTTTCAACGAGGCCATGAAAACATCCGTTCTCCAGTCACCTTCCCACACCAGAGACCTGCACAGAGGACCATGGTTTTTCAGCCCACAAGTGACTCTGAACAGGCAAAAACTCCTGCTCCCAGGTTAGCTGGTAACACTCCAAAGCCAAAAAAGATCCAGCCCTGAAAGCAGCCAAAAAGAAGCTGAAAGCATCACTAGAGGGAAACACCATGGTGGAGGACCGGCAGGCCTGAGCAGCTTTAGGACGACACCAGCAGAACCAGGCAGCACCACAGAGCAGAACACCTTTCCATGACACCCCTCCTGCCACGACCTGACCTGCGGGCGGGCTCCAGCGTGCCAACCCGCTGCGGCGCGATGCCTGGGGACACCAGCACGTCCACTGCGAGGCTGGTGTCCGGTGAGTAACAGCTCCAGTCTCCCAGCCCGAACACCACCAGCTGCTTTGGCAGCGGCAGGGGCAACCAAGCCTGGAAACCCATCTTGCTGGACTGGCTGCAAGGGGAGGGAAGAAAAGCAACAAAAACCAGAGATAAACATCAAGGAGCAAAGCAGATGATCCGAAAAAATATATTAAAAGGCTGGAAAACGTGTTTATGCCAGGGGAGGCTGAAAGGAGAGGGTTTGTGTCATTAAAGAGGAGACTGCACAGGGATGTGATGAAAATAAGCGGTAGCTTGGCAACGGAACGCGGCCGTGAGCCAGGCAGCTCCAGAGAGGCGAGGCGAGGCGAGGCGAGGCGTGCAGCTC